ATATTGTATAATTCCATTTACATGATGTTCTGCATGGACACAAATATAAGAAAAGAAAACAGATGGTTGCCAGGGACTGAAAGTGGGGAGAGAATTTGATCACAAAGGGAATGAGAGAACTTTGGGGGGTAATGAAGCAGTGTCTGCACCCTGAATGTAGTGGTGATTACATCGCAATATACATCCATCAGAACAATGTGTATTAAAAGAGGTGGATTTCACAGTATGTTAAACATTTCTTAAAATAATGGGGAAGAGAGGTGTGGGCACCATATACTCTTACAAGTGTCACAAAAAGAATTGGTAGCCCTGCCTTCCAAAGACTCCAAGTATCCTTCTGACTAGACACTATTCCTATATGGCCAAAATCAATGCTTCAGCTGCCTGTGCCCCCATGGCTACCTCACATATATTTATCCTCCATCTCAGAGTGAGAGTCTTAAAGGCAAGAGTCCACTCCTATCTGTTTTTGATGACCTTGGCCATATATAATAAAATCTTCACCTTTTCAAATCCTGATGCTTACCTCTAATTCTCAAGCTAAATGACTGTCAAGAAATTAATCAAAGATATCATAAAACTCATTAACATAAATTCAAAGGTTGACGATATTTCTCGCTAACAAAAGAAAATCAACTAGTCATCTACTAGGAACTAAAGGCATGCTACACTAGTTTTCATCTTTAAATGTTAATAATTCCTTAAATTTCTCTAGCCAGTGGAATGTTTTCCTTTAAAGCACTTGTTGCACACAGCCACAAGGGGACTTAACTCACATTCACAAGAGGAAAGCTACTCTGGAAAAGTTACGGTGTTCACAACAGATCCATTTGGTTTGTCTCAGTGATGGTCTGTCCTACGTAGTGAGAATTTAATGTTCAAAACCAGAGTACTTTGCTTATATTACTGATTTCCAACTGTAAGTATTAATCAGATCAACACACTTCTGCCTAATTTCTTTTTAAATGACAGTTACAGCTTAAAACGTGAATTAAAAATACTCCAAGTATCCTTCTGACTAGACACTATTCCTATATGGCCAAAATCAATGCTTCAGCTGCCTGTGCCCCCATGGCTACCTCACATATATTTATCCTCCATCTCAGAGTGAGAGTCTTAAAGGCAAGAGTCCACTCCTATCTGTTTTTGATGACCTTGGCCATATATAATAAAATCTTCACCTTTTCAAATCCTGATGCTTACCTCTAATTCTCAAGCTAAATGACTGTCAAGAAATTAATCAAAGATATCATAAAACTCATTAACATAAATTCAAAGGTTGACGATATTTCTCGCTAACAAAAGAAAATCAACTAGTCATCTACTAGGAACTAAAGGCATGCTACACTAGTTTTCATCTTTAAATGTTAATAATTCCTTAAATTTCTCTAGCCAGTGGAATGTTTTCCTTTAAAGCACTTGTTGCACACAGCCACAAGGGGACTTAACTCACATTCACAAGAGGAAAGCTACTCTGGAAAAGTTACGGTGTTCACAACAGATCCATTTGGTTTGTCTCAGTGATGGTCTGTCCTACGTAGTGAGAATTTAATGTTCAAAACCAGAGTACTTTGCTTATATTACTGATTTCCAACTGTAAGTATTAATCAGATCAACACACTTCTGCCTAATTTCTTTTTAAATGACAGTTACAGCTTAAAACGTGAATTAAAAATATAAGTCTTGGCAAGACATCTCCAACCACTTACTTGAATCTACGAACAGGCAGATGAGGAAAACTCTTCCTAAAGCAGCAGGATTTCAGCTGCACTAGGGGCAATGAGCAGAACTTCAAAGATGGAGACGGTTAAGGTTTTCTAGAAGCAGCAGCATGAGCAAAACTGAGAATGAAAGGTCAAAATAGCTGTCTGGGATATGCTAAATAACAAGTCTGGCTGGGACCAAGAGCTCCTATAAAGCAATTAAGTAATGTGGCAATAATCAGAACAGGTATGTTAAGCCCACATTACAGAATGCCAACTGCCAGCTCTAAGGAGCTCTGTTTTCAGTGGCATTTTTACTGGCTAAAATAAATTAAATAAAATCAGTTTACCAAATTTATTTTTAAATTTTATTCTACATAGTCACCTATATAACTAAGAAATATATGCACACTGAACATCTAATTTTGCACAAGAAAAGAACAAATACAGAGAAAATAACCTCATTAGTCAAGTCAGTTCCTTAAGCATGATGGCCCTGCTGAGTCTTCACTGGCACATTACACTTTGTGTGATTTTCTTGAATGGCACGTTCAACTGAGCCAAACCTAAGACTCTGCCAGGTGGTGTGATGAAGAATGATGGAAGAAGGAGCTGAGATAGTGACAGGAGTGGCTGAAGTGCTTTAAACTGGGTAGAGAAGTGAGGACAGAAGGGGATGACAGAAAAAGGATGTACAGGGAGTAAGGAATGGGAGGCCCCAACTAGTTCAAGACCAGGTAGAGGCAACAATGAGTGAGCTACTAGAGTGGGAGTTATGTTCAAAGAGGAGTACCCCCAACACTAAGAGTTCCAGGGTAGAAAGACCAGAAGATCCAGGATGTGGCCGTGAAAATCAGTGGCTGAAGCTGCATGGAAGTGAAGGACACTAGGAATCTGAATATAAAAAAGTAAAAAGGTATTAAGTTAACTATTATAAGACCTTTCCTACTGCCTTAAGTAAACTCAGAACTTGAGAGATTCGACAACTAAGTTTAGTTAACTTCTTAGTTGCTTTATGATCTTTGCTGACTAGTAACTACTGTCATTCTCCTCAAGAGAATTAAACTTTTATAAAAGGGACCACTACCACTAAGCTGCACTAACTTCCAACTGATCAAACTCAGGTCTAGCAGCAGGGGGATATGCTGGTGTCTGAGCAGCAGCTCATTTCCATCCCATCTAACAGGAGGAGATCTTCACTACTGTCACTGTCAGCTCTTCAAGAACTAAGTATCAAACAGGAAGTGCAGTTAACTCTTCTTGTTCTATTATTCTTCCATGTAAAATACTAAGAAAAAGATTCAACCAACAGAATCAAAACAAACAAGCAGAACAAACAAAAAACAAAACAGCAGAGTTATGAGGAGCAAAAACTGTATCTCTAAAGAAGCCACCTCACGGAAACGAGGCACTTGATCTGCTGCGCTTCAAAATTCTTCACTAAGCCAAACTAATTCATGGCCCTAACTACTTTGACTTCTAAGTTTGACCATGCACTTGACTAAGACTGGATCTTCCTATACTACATCATTTAACAGTAATTCCATCAACAAATATTTATTCTCCACCTACTAAATTCTAGGCACTGTGCAAAGTGCAGCAGAATCGAAGATGTCTAATCTGAGGGCCAACTATATGTGACAGATGCTAACATATTGATAGTATACATATTAATAAGTTATGTATTTACAAAGGAGGTAGTAAGTAATGCTTTAGGGTTGGCTGGTCCATGGGATTGGCAGCCAATTCACACACTTACACTTACATACTTATAAATCAACTATGTCACTGACCAAAATATCTAGTTCAGCTGACGTCTTTTTCTTAGCAAGGCTTTCTCAATGAAGGAAGTAATGTATAGATACACTTCTGGCACAAGTTCCTTATCTTGTTAAAGACTGGCACTCTGTCAGCAATGAGACAGAGGAAATGAGTTAAGAAGAGAGTGACAAATCAGGTGACATTTAACACAGGTCTTACAAGGTAAGTAAGATTCTGCCAAGGATATACAGAGAGAAGGGCATTCGAGTGTACCCTACTCCCAGTAGCCTAGATTCCTTTACTTGTTAGCCAAAGATGCTCTTGAAATTCTATTAAATCCATCAAGGCAATGCTGACTGACTGGCTGGACCTGACTTGCTTCAAAATTAAATTCCTCTGACTGTCCCTTCACCCTCATCCAACTCTGTGCACATTATTAATAACATATTTATATACACACTCACTGAATTCTTTATTTTCTCAGTTGGTTATAAATCTTTAACTTTTTCACCTAACAGCATACATCTGGCACAGCACTGCATATGTAAGTGGATTTAAACTGAATACTTAAAGTTTAAAGAAGCAGAAATTCAACGAGCTGGTCCAAAAGAGTTTAAAGTTATCTTCCACAATGTGAGAGGATAACTACTCCTTTTTACATCTCAGGCTCTCCTCACTTTCTAATTTCAGAAAAACAGCATTTGACTTAAAAGTGCATCTGACCACTCTAATAGTTCTGCATTAGACTTCTGCTTCAAGGTGATAAATCCCAGTCCTTTCAAAAGACAGTAAAAGAGTATCCTAGTGAGATTTTTCAAAAGTGTATTCTAGCTAGACATCTACTAAATGTTCTTCCCTAATAAATATAATGCCATAAATCACTTGGTAAGGCTCAAATTTCTTAGGCATTAAGTACAGGAAAGAATTCCTGGCCTTTTTATGGTTAGGGATAAACTCATGTATAGCTTGTCACTGCTATACTCCCTCTTTCTAATGCACTGCAGTTATCCAACAAATATTTGTTGGAAAAAAGTTATCAGAAGAATAAACATAGTAAAGTATACTTTAAAAAAAAAAATAAGAGTGCCCACCTACTACTGCCTTAGCATCAAATATCCAACATGGGTGGCATGTAGTAGCTTCCCTTAAAGAGTTGTCCCATTCTGACATCAGTTATTTATGAAGCATTTCTACGTCTCCCAAAAACATTCAATAACAGCCTCATACAACATAACTTACAGTCCTATTCTCTAGTACCAACATTTTAAGGGAACTCAATGAATCAAAACTATGCTAATAAAAATTGTGTTTATTTTTAAACCATCAAGTAACAATATTCTCAAAGTCACTATTTAACAATTCTGAAGAACTAAAAAATTAAAACTAGTCATTTTCAATTAAATATTTATAACATCATAAAATACCAAATTTCCTTTTTCAAATTATTCATTAGGGCCAGAACAGTCATTACTGTGCCGTATTCAGCCTTGCCACAGTAAAAGAAGTTATTTCACTGGTTCTAAACTCTTTACTCACTTTCTTCTTTCTTCCCTCCATCTCGCAATCTCCTCTGGAGTGTCTAACTTGATCTTCTTCATACCAGGAGCATGCATCTAAGGGAGAAGAAGCCTGCTCACCATCAGGAAGCATATTGTGTTTTCGACTAAATCTCAAGTACTATGGCGGATAATGGAAACTCTGTAGCCAACATTAAATTTACTAGCAAAGACAATTTTAAAACTAAGTAAGCAGGTTTTATCCATCCTTATTATGAAATTTACTTTAAAGGATAAAGAATAATTTCTCACATATTTAGATTAGTGCTATTTGTAAGAAAAAGGAGGAGTAACATAATTTGGTTACCAAGCAGATATGTCACCCATTTCTCAATAGACATTACATAACCCAAATGAATGGCCTACCAACCAAAACTGAGGGAGATAGCTAAAAAAATAATGAGTACACAGAATGGTTTGAAGCAGCATAGTGTAGTAAAACAAGCAGAGAATTTGGAGTCTAGAAACTCAGGTGCAAAAATCAGTTGTGAGGCCCTGGATAAATCACTTTTTTAACTGTTAAAGACCACTATTTATCTACTTCACATAGTGGTTTGTGAGAATAAAATTGAGGAATAGATGTAAAAATGTCTTATGAAGTACAAAGTACTCCATGAATGCTGCTTACTATTAGGCTATGTACATGAAGACCTGTAATGATAAGAGATTAATGAAATAAAAAGAACATGTATAAAAAAAACACACACACAAGAACTTACATTTCTCCAATGAAACTGGACAATCTTCTCATGTGCACTAAAAGAACATTCTACTTCAGGACACTGTAAGAGTTGAAAAAAGACTATTCAGTGTTTTCTATATTCAATTTTCCCTACTACTATAGGCACAGACATGTTCTGTTTATATTCCATAGTTATTCATCTATGTGGTGTTATCACTGCATATTTATGTCAATGGAAAAACAAAGACCAAAACAGGGTTGCATTTAAAAATGAATGACATTCTCAAAGAATACAGGGCAGTATTATGTATCACTTATTTCTCCATTTTAGTGAAAACATGACATCAGCAATGTGGGAAATGTTCTTAATTCCTAGAGTTCAGGGGGCATTCTTATAAACTAAGAGAGAACCTTTCAAAATTAAGAACATTCTAGTTAACAGAAACTTTTAAGTATTTAATAAGGTCCAGAACATCCTTAGGTGGCTATGGGCCGTGGCAAATTATACAGTGTGGTTAAATGGTCAAGGGCAGCCTCAGAGGGGAACGAGCACAAAGGCACACACAGCAACAGGAGGGGAGGCCTAGCCCTGTCTGAAGGCAGAGGAGGCACACATGTATCAACAGCTGCCAGACCTGCCTCCTCCTTTGCTGCTCTCTTACCTCTTCCCCCAAGCATCAGCCTCCCCTCCTCTAACTGCAGTCCCAGGGTCACTGCCTCAATTTGTCAAATCATCAAACAACATTTCTATGAAAACTTTAAAGGAAAAAAAAAAACCTCAGAATTTCTACCAAATATACCTATTTTGCTAAATACATTTAAGACAACCAAGAAAACCTACCTTTGTATGTTCAGACATGTGTTTATCATACTTCTCTTGATTTTTAAAACCACGATCACAGGTATCACAAAATAAGTGAAAAACAGGTTCCTTTCTTTTCTGCAAACAAAAACAGAGTCATTACACTTTTGGTGAAAAACCTTTAACCAGTAATAAAAATTTATCCTTCAAGTAGTATATACCTCGAATTTTCACATAACTCTTATATGTGGAAGAAACTTCTGGATACATTTCTAATGAAGGAATGATTCTGTTTCTTTATTTCATTTTACTTTTAGCCAGTACATTAGGAAAGGCAGGAATGATAAAAATTTTTTAATCTGACTAGAGCTAATATGAACTATGAGGAGATTGCAAATTGGTAATCTAATTAAGACTCAATACTGTATATGTTGAAGTGATCTAAAAATAAATATTCATGGCAAAATAGCATTTCACCTTTTAGGATGTATCACATAGTTTTTTAAAACCACAAAAGGGGGGAAAAAGAATCAGTCAGGTAAAGACCAGTTACTTTTATGTTCAATTTACTATTTTTATGCTTAAACATAAAACAAAAAAGATTACTATAATGATAGACTATATAGGAAATAGCCTCCATTGTTTAATGTTGGAATTACATTAATAAATATATTACACTTGCACAATATCTTGTTATTTATTAGTTATATAATTTTTATGTCAAAATGAAGGATACTAATTTCATGCTGTAGACCTCACTCAGCTCATTCTAAACTAAGGACATTATTTATACACCTTAAAAACTGAAAGACCAGATTTGTAAACTCTATCAGAATAAAAGGAAGTCTACTTTAAGAGTTAGTCTCTGAAGCATAATCAAGAGTTGTTTCTGAATTTTTTAAAAAATGACTTTTTTCATAAAAATGGTAAATATACACAATTGAAAAAAACTGAAGCATTACAATGAATTAAGATGAATGAATAAATAACAATAATAACAAAAAATCTTGTCTGAATAATTTCAGACTACTTTAGGCAGAGGGGATGACTAACTATAAACTTTTTAAATTAACATTAAATGTAATTTTACTTAAATTTAACACTAGAAAACAAAACTGCTGAATCTGCTTTTTTAACTACAGAAATATTTGTTCCTAAGAGATTGCCGTGTCAAAATGAAAAAGATTATAAAAAATAAAAAAGTTTGTGTCATTATAGTTTGTTCTTAACTCCATGCTTTCAATTTCATTAGAGAAAAAGTTTGGACTTCTTTTCTCTAAATTCCGTATTTATTTCAAATACTATATTGAAATAGATTCAGTGTTTTATTTTCTACAACTTTAATATTTATTTCTCAAAAAGATTTTGCTTGAAGTTTTTGCTTATAGCTAAGATCTTAAGATCCTATTATAGCAAGGCCGCAAGGCTCTAATATGTTGATAGTAGATGCAAAACACTGAGACAGATAGAAATGTAAGACATGAAACGGTGACCCAGGGGTCAAAGTGTCACATTCAAGAATATCTTTAAAAATACCTTTTTTTTCTGTTTTCTGCTGGGAGGGAAGTTGAAGTCAGTAAACTTTGCATCATATTTTTGTGGAAAATAAGAATGTTTAACTAAAAAACAAAAAGAGATCCATGTTTTCACCTATACAACTTTAAAAATTTTCATTTACGATAGTATATCTCAAATACCTGAGTAAAAACAGTTATAAACTAACTCTAACAAATTAACAGAGATTAAGACTAGTCACCAAATAAGTATTTCTCAAATTAATATATATTGGTAAGATTAAATACATGCTCACTGACACTTTAGGTGTCTAAGTAAAGGAATGGACAATCTAACCTGACGAAATTCTTGTTCTTATTCCAAACATTAAAAATATAAACAATAAAATCCCTAATACAGCTCCTTCAGCATCAATTTTACACCAGAAAAACAGAACCTTGTGAAATACATTTTTCTCTCAGTCTTTCTTTCCTTATTGCCATGACCCAACTCTGCACCTCTTTCACCTTGATTACTACTGACTGCCTCCCAGATTCTCTTCCACTTCCTCTCTTCCAACAGACCCTGCACACCGACAAATCAAAAGTAATACTCCAATCTTGACAATCCTGCTGGAAAACTTGAAAATGACTTCCCAGAGTCCTTCAGGGAATCCCAGTCTATTTTCACACCCTACCCTTCCCCCATACCCTCCACTTACCTGGTTTCAGTCACCCCAAAACACTGCAATTTTCAGAACTCACTGTGTACTGACACTTCTTTGCCCCTACCCAAAAAAAAACTCTTCCTAAATCCAAAACACCTCCCAAAACACTTCTTCCAAAAACTTTTCTGAACTCCCTCAACACTCTGAAATCACCTTTTATATGCCTCTATCACCAGTCACACTGTGTTATGATTTATATTTATGAACCCATCTCACCTGACTTAGGACTGTCTCAGGCACACTCATATTCTCAGCATTTGCACAGAAAACACTGATTTGGATTCAACTTAATGTTAACTAAATCTTACTCAGAACTGGAGATTAAAGATCCATGTTTTCACCTATACAACTTTAAAAATTTTCATTTACGATAGTATATCTCAAATACCTGAGTAAAAACAGTTATAAACTAACTCTAACAAATTAACAGAGATTAAGACTAGTCACCAAATAAGTATTTCTCAAATTAATATATATTGGTAAGATTAAATACATGCTCACTGACACTTTAGGTGTCTAAGTAAAGGAATGGACAATCTAACCTGACGAAATTCTTGTTCTTATTCCAAACATTAAAAATATAAACAATAAAATCCCTAATACAGCTCCTTCAGCATCAATTTTACACCAGAAAAACAGAACCTTGTGAAATACATTTTTCTCTCAGTCTTTCTTTCCTTATTGCCATGACCCAACTCTGCACCTCTTTCACCTTGATTACTACTGACTGCCTCCCAGATTCTCTTCCACTTCCTCTCTTCCAACAGACCCTGCACACCGACAAATCAAAAGTAATACTCCAATCTTGACAATCCTGCTGGAAAACTTGAAAATGACTTCCCAGAGTCCTTCAGGGAATCCCAGTCTATTTTCACACCCTACCCTTCCCCCATACCCTCCACTTACCTGGTTTCAGTCACCCCAAAACACTGCAATTTTCAGAACTCACTGTGTACTGACACTTCTTTGCCCCTACCCAAAAAAAAACTCTTCCTAAATCCAAAACACCTCCCAAAACACTTCTTCCAAAAACTTTTCTGAACTCCCTCAACACTCTGAAATCACCTTTTATATGCCTCTATCACCAGTCACACTGTGTTATGATTTATATTTATGAACCCATCTCACCTGACTTAGGACTGTCTCAGGCACACTCATATTCTCAGCATTTGCACAGAAAACACTGATTTGGATTCAACTTAATGTTAACTAAATCTTACTCAGAACTGGAGATTAAGTAAACAATATTGTGGCTTTCTATATAATCTATATGCTATGAAACCCAAATTTACAGCCCCAGGCACAAATCTCCCCTGAAAGGACAAACTAATAGCGAAGAGCCTATACTCTGCTTGATCCAAACATATTCCAAACTCAATGCCTGGTCTTCTCTTCAAATCTGCTTGGTCCACATACTTCCACTGGTTTGGCAAAAGACTTTAAGTTATTCTCGTTTCTTCTTTGCCTCACATCTCTTACTTCAGCAAATGGTGTTGGCCCTACGCTGCCTTCAAAATGTACCTAGACTGCAACTTCTCATTACCTCCTGAGCTTCACCCTAGTCCACATTCCCAACATCTCTTACTTAGATGCCTGCAATAGCTTCCTACTTGGTCTTGACTTCAGTCAATTCCCATCAGTAACCTTTTAAAATATAAATCACGTCATTCTCTTCCCTGCACTACTCATATCACAAGAATTAAATTCAAAGTTACATGATCTTAAAGGGCCTTACAGGTCTGTCCTCTTCCCCAATATTTTACAGTTCTATGCCAGGCTCACTCCTCTCTAGTCCCACTGGCTTCCTTTCTTTGCCTTGTACGCTGTTCTTCTGCCTGTATCCTTATTCCTCCAGATGTATCCACGGCTCTGATCCCCCACCTCCCTTTTAAGTCTTTGCTCAAATGCCACCTTTCTTATATATGACAGTGAAATTTAAAACAGCACTACCGATTATTCTTTGCTTTATCTCTCTCCAGAGCACTCACTGCCTTCTAATACATACACGCTGCCTTATTTTGTATGTTGTCTGTCTTGCTACCCCAAGAGGTGTTAAACACCATAGAGATAAAGACTTTTATAAGTTTCGTTCACTGCTGTAATCGCAGTTCCTGGTACATAGTTGGAATTCAGTAAATAACTGCTTAATTGACTGAACAGGCGAGGAAAAGATTCCTGTCGGAAAAACTGTGAGGCATTAATGATCAGACTCCGAGAGTGCACACAGAATCAGAAGTGGAAAGGGGGAGAAATGGGAGAGGTAATAAGGGGAGAAGAAGTTAAGGGGTGGTCCACATTACAGTAATAGCTTACCCCGAGTGTCGTGGGCCTTCTGATGCCGAGGAAAAACACCAGAAGACTGTCTCCAGTACCACGATGTCGAAGCCTGGAAATTCCAGGAAGGCTGGCCGTTGAGCTGAGGCTGAGAATCAAGGGGGGACTGGGCGTCGAAAGGGGGCTGCGCCCCGGGAAGAATCTGGGCGTCGAAGGGAGGAGGCGCCTCGGCGAGGGCCTGGGCCCCCACGGGGGGCTGCGCCCCTGGGGAAGGCTCCGACCCTGCTGCGGTGGGCGACCACGAAGGCGGTGGTGGCGGCGGCAGCATTGCCCAGAGCATCCAGTTGTTCGGCAGCGGAGCAGTGTCGCTCAGCGGACCCGACATGGGGGTAAGCTCGGGGGCTGGAAACCACCCCGTGGAAGTCCCGGTATCACTCGCCGGCTCAGCCATGTCGCCAGCAAGGTTGGGACCTTAGCGTGCGAATGTGGCTCACGCCTTAGGCGTCACTTCCGTTACCGCGAATTGCACGGCTCAGCCAACCACAGGCTTCTCGTCATTGGTCGACGCCGGAAAACTAGTCTTTGCGATGGATCCCGGGCCGCCTTTGCGGTCGGTCTGATTGTGCGTGGAAAGGTTTGTATGCTTGACCGCGGATGGCGAGGGAACTGATCGGGCCGGCGCTGCCGCCTGGCTTCAAGGCCCGCGGGACAGCGGAGGACGAGGAGCGAGAGCCCAGCCCTGGTAAGCAGCGGCCTGTGCCCTGCCCGCCAGGCACACCGGCCGCCCACCCCTTCTCTGGCCTGCCCTTGCCAAGCAGAGGTCTGAGGCCAAGAGGGCGGAGGAGTGGGGAGTGGGTGCGGTTCGACCCGAGCTGACTTCCCTTCCCAAGCACAGCAGTGGGGAAAAGGCCGGGGAAGCCTCAGAAAACGAGATTTGGCCTGGGAAGCATTACGATGTTGATAAATTCTCGTTTAGCGCTTAATGGTTCTAGACCCCGTGCTAAACGACGGATACACATTCAGTTATCCTAGCAACTGTGTAACATAAAGATTCGTATTTCCATGTCACAAACCGGGACATGAGGCCACAGGCTATTGCCCAGGTCACGCAGCTAGTAAGTGGTGAAACCCCATTCAGAACAAAGCCCGTGCGCCGAACATCTGTGCCATCTTGCCTTTGACATACGATGCCCTTGGCTCCTGCAGAAGATGCCCCCGGCCTGCCTTGCTAGCCTCTCCTATTCTGGCATTGCATCTGACAGGCACAGCCCAGTGTTCAAACCAGTCCGAGTTTCTTTGCAGTTCCTCAGTTTTCCAGGACCCTTCTCGCCCCACTCTGCATTTTTTGACATACCTGACAAACTCCTACCACATCCTTCAAGGCCCAACTTAAATGTCACCTCAGTGAAGCCTTTACCAAACTCTCTCTAAGATTGTCACACATTCTTCCTGCCCACGAGGGGTTTTTTTCTACATAATTACATCGCATGTTTAATACACTGTTTTTTGAATAACTTCTTGACATATCTGTCTCCACCATCGCACTACTGTCTTCTAGCCTTTAACAGATTGTACGCACTTCATACTTGTCAAATAAATGCTTCTTAGACCCTTCCATGCATATCTATCTCCTCCAATGTTCTAATTGCAGACTGTGACTGACACTAAAGTTGGAAATGAGTAATGCTGTAAGAGCAATCCTGTCATTTCTTTATCTAGTTTTCATTCCTTGATTACGCAGAGGCCGTGTTACCACCTAGAGGTTTCCTTCCATATCTTCTGTCACATCCATTAAAAAGTCATGCTTTTACTATAGCAAGGAAATCTGTTCGGCTAAGGTTGAACAGAAAAAGTGGGTTAACCAAGCTTTTAAAGTTGGGTTCCTCTGTGTATATCCTTTTGGGTCATCATATTCTGTTCCCATACTTTAGACCAAGGCAGCCTTTGCAGGTAAACAACCATCATCTCCCAACTAGGTAACTTCTATTATGATTTGCTTCTATCATTCTGCCTGCATTTACTTCAGGCACTCCCTTCTCCATCTACTTTCTTCTGTTTGTTTCTTTTGTGCCTGTTCATTCTCTGCCTGCTCCCACGCTCAACACTTAACACTGTACTTGTGTGTATCCCCTTCTATCTTGGCCATGTTTTACCCTAACCTGCCTGGTACATACAAGATCTCTGGTGGATATTGTTGAATAATGTCACTTCTTCAGGACATGGCATACGTTTTTCACATAATTCCCCCTACTGTAATTCCACTCTGTTCATAAGCTCTTAGATGATTGATCCTAAAACTATTGTCAGAAAATCTTGAGATATTGCTTTGTTATCTCATTATTCTTCTACCTGGACTTTAAAATCTAATCAGTACAAATATCCTTGAAATTCACTCTATCACACCATAGAAGTGCCATCCTGTGCCATCTTCCAGCCATTACCTGCCTCCCAATCCCTCTTTCAACCAAAGGGTAACTACTGTCCTGACTTATAACATCGTAGCTTAGTTTTGTGTGCTTTAAATGGAAAAATACAGTATGAATTCTTTCATAAATAGCATTTTTTGGCACAACTTTATTTTGAGGGATTCATCATGTTTAGTTATTGTTGATGTTATTATAAATTGTTTATTGACATTGCGGTCTAGTAGTCCATTGTGTTAATGTTCTGTTATTTACTTATCCATTTTACTATTGTTGGACAGTTGAGGAGTTTCCTTTTTTGGCAGCTAAAAAAAGTGCTGTTAGCCTCAACACCCAAAAAGCAAATAACGAGATTAAGAAACAGGCAGAGGATATGAACAGACACTTCTCCAAAGAAGAAATTCAGATGGCCAACAGACACATGAAAAGATGCTCCACATCACTAATTATAAGGGAAATTCAAGTTAAAACCACAATGAGATATCACCTCATACCAGTTAGGATGACCAACATTGAAAAGACAAGGAACGACAAATGCTGGTGAGGATGCAGAGAAAGGACAACCTTCCTACACAGCTGGTGAGAATGTAAATTAGTTCAACCATTGTGGAAAGCAATATGGAGGTTCCTCAAAAAACTAAAAACAGAAATACCATTTGACCCAGGAATTCCACTCCTAGGAATTTACCCTAGGAATGCAGGAGCCCAGTTTGAAAAAGACATATGCATCCTTATGTTTATCACAGCACTATTTACAATAGCCAAGAAATGGAAGCAATCTAAGTGTCCATCAGTAGATGAATGGATAAAGAAGATGTGGTACATATACACAATGGAATATTATTCACCCATAAGAAGAAAACAAATCCTACCCTTTGCAACAACATGGATGGAGCTAGAGGGTATTATGCTCAGTGAAATAAGCCAGGTGGAGAAAGACAAGTACCAAATGATTTCAGTCATCTGTGGAGTATAAGAACAAAGGAAAAACTGAAGGAACAAAACAGCAGCAGATTCACAGACTGCAAGAAGGGACTAGTGGTTACCAAAGGGAAGGGGTTGGGGAGGGTAGCTGGGGAGGGAAGGAAAAGGGGATTAAGGGACATTATAATTAGCACACAAAATATAGGTAGGTCACTGGGGAGGCAGTAAAACACAGAGAAGACAAATAGTGACTCTATAGCATCTTACTACACTGATGTACAGTGACTGCTATGGGTCAGCAGGTAGACTTGATAATATGGGTGAATGTTGAAACCACAATGTTGCTCATGTGAAACTTTTATTAAGGTTGTATATTAATATAGCTTAATTAAAAAAAAGTGCTGCTGTGAATTCTGGTACATGTGTTTTACAGAACACATGTTCCATTTCTTTTGAAATTGTTGGGTCATTGGATATGTATATATTCGCTTTAGTAGATAACTGTCAGTTTCCAAAGTAGTACCAATTTACACTTCCACCAGTGTGTATAAGAATTTTCATCCCATATTCTCACTAATACTTAATTTTTTTCTCTTTTTAATATGGTTTGGAGCAGTATCTCGTGGTTGTTGTCATTGGCATTTCCCTGATGATAAACGGAGCTGACTACATATTTTTTGGACATTTGCATGTGTGTCATGTTCAAGTCTTCTGTTCTTTTTTCCTAAGTTGTCTGTCTTACTGATATATTGAGTTCTTTATATGGTCTGGATCAAGCCATTTCTCAGATTGTGTGTTACAAATATCTTCTCTAATTCTGTGGGTTGCCTTTTCACTCATCAGTATGTTTTAATGAACAGAAGTTTTTAGTTTTAGTATATTCTGATTTTTAATTTTTCTTTTATGGCTAGAGCTTTCGTTTCTATTTATGTAGTCTTTGCGTACTCCAGGGTTACAGAGCTCTACATTTTCTTCTAAAAGCAATATTGTTTCAGCTTTCACATTTATATTTGCAGTCCATCTGGAATTGATATTTGTGTACAGTGTGAGGTGGTAGCAAGATTTTTTTTCCCCCATATGGCTATTGAGTTAATCCATTGCACTCCCCCATTGCACTGCAGTGTCACCTCCCTTATAAATCAGGTGACCATATGTGCATCTAGTTTTTTTCTTTTTCATTCTGGTAAAATATACATAACATAACATTAACCATCTCAACTGTTTTTAAGTGTACAGTTCATTGTTAAGTACACTCATATTGTTGTGCAACCATTACCACTATCCACCTGCAGAAATCTTTTCCTCTTGCACAGCTGAAACCCTGTACCCATTAAATAGAAAGTCCCATTTTCTACCTCCCCCAGTTGCTGACAACCACCCCTCTACTCACTATGAATCTGACTGGTCTAGGTACCCCATATAAGTAGAATCATACAATATTTTTTATGTCTGACTTCTTTCACTTAAGCTAAAGTCTTCAAAGTTCATCTGCATTATAGAATGTGTCAAAATTTCCTTTAAGGATGAATAATATTCCATGTTTCATATACCTTATAGATTCATCTGTTTGTGTGCATGTGGGTTGCTTCTACCTTTTGACTATTGTAAATAATGCTGCTATGAATGTGGTGTACAGATATATTACCTGAGGCCCTGCTGTCAGTTCTTTAGGGTATATACCTAGAAGTGGGATTGCTGGATCATATGGTTAATCTGTTTTTTGAGAAATTGCCACACTCTTTTCCACAGCAACTGCACCATTTTGCATTCCCACTAGCAGTGCAGAAAGGTTCCAGTTTCTCTACATCCTTACCAGCACTTGTTGCTTTGTGTTTTCTTTTTTTATAATAGCCATTCTAATGGGCATGAAATGGTAATTCATGGTGGTTTCAATCTGCATTTCCTTAACAATGAGTGATTTGGGGGATCTTTTCATGTGCTTTTGGCCTGTGCATCTAGTTTTGAGAAACTTGAATTTAGACTGTCATTTCCAAAGTGAAAAAATGTAAATAACAGTGCTCTACCCAATAACTCAAATTCCTAATAATCTGAAGATGCACATTATGTGATACTCAGGACAATGACCCTAAGTCAACAAAAAAAGAAAAATTATTTTAAGAATACTTTGGTTAAGAAGAGCCATCTATTTTAAAAAGCTGTGAACTTCCTACTTTATCACATCAGGAGTCCCACAATACCTGAATGCTTTGGATGTATTAACTGATGTAATCTTCACAACAGCCCTGTGAGGCTAAAGTTATTATTAACTTCATTTTACAGATCAAGAGTATAACACAGGAAGGTTAAATGACGTCCAGATCACGCAGCTTTAAGTGGCTAAGCTGTAATTAACAGTAAAAGTCTGACTCCAGCGCATGCATCCTGGCCTCTGTATACCATTCAGTTTCACCTTAATATTTTGCTTACTTGGCTTTAGCCACACGGGCACATCCAAGGTTGTTTTCTCCGTAGGATTTATGCAGTAGCTGTTCCTCTGTCTAGAATATTCTTGTCTCAGATAGTTGCAGGGCCACTGTCATCTCATCACTTAAGTCTTCATTCAAATGTCATCCTTAACCTTGCTTTCTTTGACCTCTGTCTTCACAATTACTCTTCCACATATTCAGTTACCCTTTTTATTTTTTATGTTGTTTTTCTAGAAGTATTTACTCAGTAAGTAATTGTTGGATGGGTGAATGTTAACTCTTTGTTGAATGTTATCTAGTATAGTGGTTAAGGGTATATATAGGCTATGAAATCAGACTCTTGTTTATATTGTCAGCTTCATAACTTAATTGTGTGAAGTTGGGCATATCACTTTCTTCTCTGCCTTGATTTCCTCAACTGTAAGATAGAATTAGTAGTACTTCCTTAATAGGGTATTGTCAGAATTAAATAGGTTAATGAATTTGAATGTCTTAAAACAGTGCAAAGCACATCAGAACTCAAAACATGTCATTTTTCTTTTATTATTTTTAATTTTTTTTTGTTACTAATATTGGCTGACCAGCATACCTGGGAAACTCTTTGCAAAATCAGATTTTCAGATCCTAGATCAGGCCAGCTGGATCAGAATCTCTGGGGAAGGGGCCCAGAAATATATACATATGTTTTAAATATTTTTTGGCAATTCTGATAAATACATTTCCATGCTTGGGAACTGTGGTGGTAGTTTTAGCATTACTGCTCAGGATCAACATTAGCAGTTGTGTCAATGTGACATCATGACATCATGCAGTAAATTTGTAATTTTGCTGAGATGTAAATGAGAGCAAATCATTGTGGTGAGTGGGCCTAGAAAACCCTTACCCTCTCCCAGTCACCCCATTTCCAGTGTAGCCTCATTCTCTTCTTGTGTCTCTGCTAGTAGGCAATAAAACTTAGAGTGACTGTAGTTTAGTTTCTACTTGAAAAATCATCTCAAAGAAAACTGAGATACCAGTAAAGATATTTTTTTAAGTGATGGTTCTCAGTCAAAAGCCAGAATGAATAATTTTGATTTTTGGTGTATTAAAGTATGAAACAGCAGGTTTGTTTTTTGGTTGGCTCAGTGACCTAGGTATTATCTGCCATATGCTGTCTGTAAGAAGAAAAAGTTATGAAACTGTTACGGCAGTTGCACCAACCAAAATTGCAACCATTGAAAACATAGTCAGATGTCAGGGAAATTACACACTACTGTTATAGGTATAAGTGTGGGTATTAAAGTTTTTGTAGCTCTCATAGTTATACTGTGTAAGACATGATTTCTGCCCTCCTGTAGTTGGAAAAACAAGACCACTGCACACAAAACAGGAGCAAATGAAATTAAGGTCCATAATAAGTGATAGCCAGGTAGTGCTGTGAATTTCAGAAAAGGAAGTGTGAAATATCAGTGAGGGGGTTCATTGAAACAGTTGTAGCTAGTTATGACATACATGAGAAATTTTCTTTAGTTGCAGGACCAGCTCTGCCCCCTAATTATAAAAGCAGTAATTCAGAGTCATCAGACAGTGATGAAGACAGTAGTTCTTTGTACGAAGAAGGAAATCAAGAATCTGAAGATGATGACCCTGGCCCAACTGCAAGGTCAGTCACTGACTTAAATTACATGATTAACCATCCTTCCAATCTAATGTACATCAGCTGGAATAGATAGCGAGTAAGGGGATATCATATCTGCATTTATGCAGTGCAGGAAGAAAACATTTCATGTGGCATTTCCTCATGCACTGTATACCTTTACATAGAAATTTATTGTAGTAGTACATAGCTGAGGATATATATATCTAGGATTTCAATAAGTTCCTATATAAGGGATTTCCTTAAGGTATTATTGAAGTGACTATTCTAAATAAGCCATGAAATTTCTTTTAAAAATTATTTATGCAGTGTATGGCTATGTGGAAGTAAATGAATAATTTCCTTCTAACCTAGCCTTACTCAACATAGGTCCCTGTGAATAGAAGCCAAATCTTTGTTTATTATTGGGTAGCAAGGTTTTTTTGATGTATTTCAAAGTTTATGAGACAGAAATACCAACTTAAAACCCTTCCTAAGTGAGATTAAAAGCCAAAGTCAAACTTTCTGCTCACACATTTGACAAGTAGACTATTTGACACTTCATTGAGTGGAACCTTTAATAGCACAGAAAATTGATAGATTACTGCTGTGAAGAATTACTTGATCTCTATTTTAGGCCAAAAACAAATTCCAGGAAGAGATTAATTTAAGATCTATACTGTCCATTTTTTCTTATTTGGCAAGATTAATTAATTGTTTCAGTATTTATACAACTAATTAAGTGAATGTCCCTTTTAAAAATCAGAATTTCTCCATGAAAAAAAATTTGGCAAATACAAATAAACTTACATTACTGTATTTTCAGGAAACAGAGGAGAAATCAAGACGATGATGATGATGAAGGGTTTTTTGGACCAGCCCTTCCTCCTGGATTTAAAAAGCAGGATGATTCTCCTCCAAGGTGATAATTTGTAATATTTCAGGCCAGTCTTTTCAAAGTATTTCAATTAATGTTTGTTAATTCATTAAAGAGTTGTCTGAAATACATTTTTAACTTCCATATTTCTATAACATTGAAATTCACAGGGAAAAATAGTTGGTTCCTATAATGAAAATAATCATTTCCATGTTTGTAACATTTATAATTTATTTAAAAACTCCCGTATTTCCTAATTGATACATACAAAAGTGTTTTGTGGTAGGCTGAGTAGAACATTATCCCTCTTTTCCCTTTTTTGAAACACATAAGGTTTATACATAGTAAGTGGTAGACCTGGGATAGAATCCTGGTATTTGACTTCAAATTCAGACATTTTCTTAATTATTTGTTGATAAAAGAAACAAATCCTTGTGCACCAAATTAAACCATTTGACTAATTTCTCTGAACCTCAAATTTGCAATCTATAAAATAAAATAACATACCTTGCAGAACTGTTGTGATGATTAAGATTTCATATTTACATACATGCAGGTGTATGTATGTATATGCATGTGCCTTTTATGGTACCTGGCACAGAGTGAGTATATAGTAAATACTGATTCCTGTCATTCTGGAATTGTACAATTTGTATATTTTTTTAAATGAAATTGCACACCAAATTGTTTATACTTCATAATGCTACACACCAATATGCAAGAACAAGGCTGTTGTACATTTTATATTCGAAGTTTACAATCACATTTGTCAGCTTCAATTTTTATATATCCTTCATCCTTTTAGAAGTGATAGGGATAGATAATCGACTGCCTGTTTTTCTATGGCCCCCAAACTAAGAGTAATCTTTAAAGGGTCATTAAAAATAACTTGCTACAGAGAGCCAAATGTGACCCTCAAAGCCTAAAATTTCCTAGGTAAAGGGGAAAATAAAATTAGAAGATTTGATATCTCAATCTGGGTAATGGTTGCATGAGTGTACATGTGTCAGAATTCATCAAGCTATATGCTAAGATTTGTGCACTTTATTGTATGTACCTCAATATAAAAGAATTTTTTTTAAAAAACAAAAGTAAAAGTTCTCATCACAAGAAAAAGAATTTTGTAACTACATGCGGTGATGGATGTTAATTAGACTAACTGATGAGTAGTTCATAAAATACAGACAGATATTTAATCATTATATTATACACCTGAAAAAAAAAAGCCTAAAATTTTCTATCTGGCCCTTTATAGAAAATGTGCTGACTACTGGGATTTAACATTCCTTTAAAGAAAACACATTATTAGATGTATTGTGACTTCTTTCTTGAGAATTATATTTCGGCAATAATAAAAAACGTGAAATAAACAGGTAGTAGCATTTATTGGAAGCAGAAGCCTTTTAGGCAGCTGTAACATGCCATGAATATATTCCTTTACTCTGCTTTTAAGATTTTATGTGCCAATAACTGTATCTCACAAATTCTCTAATGCCTGAAAATTGAGCTGTAACTGAATTTGTAGATCAGCTAAAAATTGTACCCAGAAAAAAAGCCATGTAGTGCTTCCTCACAGCTTATAAATGATAGCTTATTTGATCTTTCTAACAGTGCTAAACAATCCCTATGTTTCCTAAGCAAAATTGTTCTGGCTCAGAGAGGTTTTAGGAACCAAGACAGGAAGTTACTAAGTGGCCAGGATCAGAACCCAGTCCTTCTGACTCTCAGTACTGTTTTTCCTCTACTAGGAAGCCTGTCTGTGAGGCTCTAACTGAACACAATGCAACCTGGAAAATTCAGCTTAGGACTTCAGTGCCACCTTGGTTGGTAATACTGGTACAGTGACATCTCTGCAAAAAATACTGGTACGAAAGAAAGGATAAAGAAGCTTAAAAGTACAAAAGAGTAGAAAATCTTTTCTCTTTTACTTTTTCCCTGCATAAAATAAGGCTTACTCTTTTAAGACGCAAAATTTAGGTAGTTCTCCTTTTGAACTGCTGTCAGTTCCCTCAGAAGTGTGGCAGCAGAGCAGCTTAAACACAATGAACTTTGACATCAAGTAGACCAGAATTCAGATTCCAGCTCTGCCACTTACTGGGTTTTGTTGTCCTTGGGCTTATGTTGCTCACTTATAAATGGAGTGACTTAATTAATACCAACCAGGGCTCTTTGAAGGAAACAGGAAGTACACTGGTTGAAACCTAGTAGCACAGCACCTTTCCTTTTTCTGTGGGTTTCACATGAATTACTATCACTCTTGTACAATTCCACGTCATTATTGAATTGAGTTATTAGTGAGGGCTGTTTAGATTTTTATGCCCCCTGGGCACATGTAACCATAAACTGCAGACATCTGTTACATGCATGTGCTGTATATGCCTTTAGCCCTCAATTTATACTTAAGTAGCTCTGACTATAATTATAATGCCCCTAAGGTTTTTGTCATTAGACAATGAATATGAAAACTGAAGGCCAAGGCACAACGTAGAAAAATATCTCCAAAGGTTTTACTTCCTAACAAGGTCTTTTTTTAAAAATGTTACCATTTTTATTTAATGTAGTTCGTTTAGAAGTGGGTATATACCACTGCCACAAAGATGGAGAATTACTGGTTCAGTATCCTATCATTGACTAACGAGTAGAAAGTAAAATTGCAAAAATTATATTTTTTAAGATACTAAGTGGAAAAATACTAGATTACAAAGTAAAAAGAATATAGTAAGTAAAATTCTTATTTTCAATATTTGTTGTTACTTGGCTTATTATTTTTGTGAACTTTTATTCTGAAAATTGCTTTTTAGGGTCAGGGACAATGATAAAGGTGCTTTTTATTTTTCAGGCCTATAATAGGTCCTGCATTACCACCTGGTTTTATTAAATCTGCACAGAAAAGTGACAAAGGCAGAGATGATCCAGGACAACAGGTAACATCATATTTCAACTCTGAGGTTTGGAGAACTTTTGATTAAGGAATAAGATTTAACAAACTCAAGACTTTACAAAGTAGTAACTTCAATTATTTGGCTCAAATGTAATGTAAGATGCACCATATTCACATTAATTTAGGATTGTAATATAGGAAGATGAAATTGAAAGTTTATCATTGACCGGAGATTCTGTTAGAAAAATGAGGTAGTTATATGTTGACAAGGTGTTACCTGTTGATGCTTCTCATCTCTGAAGGGAAGCTTTAGAGTCCTAAAAAATAGAACATGAAAAGTTTAAGGAATCATTGTGATTAGACCTGAAAGAGAAAGCTGAGGAATTTTTTTGTAATGATCTTGATTTTGAAACTAACTCTTACCTACCCTGCTCTGGTGCCTGTATATAACAAAGGCACTAGTGGATAAGTGATTTTATGAAAAGACAGATCAAATGATTTTGGAGTAAAATATGAAGGCTATTTTCTTGTTAATGGCCTGGTCCTTAATGATAGCTGAGATTTGTAGAGCATTTTATAATTTGTAATGCATTTTCCCCACATATAGATATTATTTTTATCTTCTCTTGGAGAAGATCTGCATCTGAGATGTCAAAAAAAGAAACTGAGTAACTTACCCAGGATTGTACAATTTGTACTTGCCAAAACCAAGACTTAAACCCAGTTCTTAGACTTTAAGTCACCTGTTCCGTCCATTATCCTGCAGTGGCTTCCTATATATTCGTCTCCACCCAGAATCCAATAGTTACGCTGAGGTTGTTACTAAAGGAAATATAAGGCAGTGATTAAGATCATGAACTTCGTAGTCAGTTACTCACTCTTTCAACAGGTATTTATAGAGCACCTACGGTGTGTCAGGCACATTGTCACAGAAATGAATCCGTCATTCCTTCCTTCAGAAGACATCCAGAATCCAACCACCTCTACCACCCTAGTCCAAGTCCAAGTCATTTCCACCTGGTTATTGGTCTTCCTGCTTTAGCTCTTATTCCTCCACTGCCTTGTCTCAGCGTAGCAGCTAGAGCGGCCCAGATGAAACAGGTCAGAGTGGGACACTCACACCTAAAGCCCTCGAATTGCTCTTCCCTCTCTGTGCAAAAGCCGAAGTCCCCATAGGGCCCTGTATAATCTGGCCTCTGTTAGCTCCCTGATTTTCTCTTACTTTGATCTGACTACCCTGAACTCCTTGCTGTACCTCCTCAACTACCCCAGGAAGGCTTCTACCCCTGAGCATTTATACCTGCTTAGTCTTTTCAGAATGGTTTTCCCCTAGATAGCCATGTGGCTTGCCACCTCGATCTTGAGTTTTTTGCTGAAATGTCACCTCAAGGAAGTCATTTCTGACCTAATTTAAAATCATTAACCCCTCTTCCCTTTCCTTCTCTCTGCTTCCCTCGTTTAATTTTCTCCATAGCATTTGTCACCACCTAAGGTATTTTATTTTACTGCTTCTTTTTGTTATTGTTGAGCTCTCCCCACTAGAATAGACATTTTTGTCTTATCTCCAGTGGACTTTCAGAAGTATTTGTTGAATGAATAAGATAGACATGCCCTTATCACACTTGCAGTGTAGTGGGGAATACATACAGTAAATGAATTTCTAACATGTTGAGTGATTCGAAAGGTGGGACAAAATATAGTGGAACCATGACAGAGGGGTCTAAACTGACCTGAAGAAATGATAAAAAGTCTTTTTCTCTTAGAAAATGTCTAAACTCAAGATGGATGAGTTGGAGATAGCTCAGCAAAAGGACAGGAAAAATTGTTCCAGAGAGTATAGCTAGCTTACTGGAAGGCACAAGAGTGTGGAGATGAAGGAAGCTGGGGTTAAAGAAGTCCAGAATGGTCAGATGGAGAGAAAGAGCCCTGAGCCGCTGGAGCCCTGGTTCTGGGCAGATTTCATTCTCGGCAGCTTGGCGGTTGTTAGCACTTGTTACAAAGATTAAATCAGAATAGTAGGTATTTAACTTATAATAGCTCTCATTATTACCATTATTCCTATTACCTCCACCACTGATGCCATGACAATAACTTCAAAATTTAGGCTAAGTACAAGGAATCCTTTCTGTCAAGATTGAATTACAAGGATAAATTACCAAAGGAATACTTCCAGCCACATGGAAGACTGAGCTGACATGGTCACACTCCCATCCGCCTGCCCAAATAAAAAGCAATGCTGGGAGGAAACAAAACAGCAACAAAATTAATGCTCAGCCAGGCCCAAAAGAAAGGAATGGAGCTCCGCAGGCGCTAATGACACTGAGTGAATGCAAGGTAGGGCAGGAAACAAGTTTATACAGCAGAGGACAGGGTAGTCCTGGAGAACCAGCCTAAGCCCTTTAGTTGGACTGGTGGGCAGGAGCCATAGCTTCAATCACACACAGAAAGAGTAAATGGAGCTCACTGGATAAAACTGACAGCTCAAAGTATTTCTCTGTCTGCAAACAAAGTACTAGAGAAACGTAACCCACTGTCCTCAGGAAAGTATAAAGAACGTTTGTTTCAGTCTAGGGCCTTGTCTGTAACCTGCTTTCAGACAACTCCCAGAATAAAAAACCTGTCTGCCTGCCTCACAGAGAGGGCAAGGGCATCAGAAAGAAAGGTAAATATGGTAGTATGTTAGCAACTGGAGAATTTGGGTGAAGATAATGGATGTTGTGCTTGCTTTGGCACTATATTTTTCAAAATAAAAATTTTTAAAGTATGTAACACAATTCAATTTTATTCACACTAGCACTTTGTCCTAACTCCCCTAGAGAACAAGCAGGTAGTTTATGTAACTCGATAGGTGGTACCTGTTCCACACATTCTAGCTTCTCCTAGCAAAGAATGAGGGGCAGGGGTGGGCAGGGATTTCACCAGGCCACATACCTGCCTAAAGTACTCTTGGTTTTGAATTTTTGCTTTCTCATTTCCCTTTAATAAAACCTTTTTTCACCAGACATTTCCTTTTGTTTTTCATATTTTCCTTTCTCAAAGAAGGGCTTCTCTTAGTCTTCCTTTCACAGCATGTATACCCAAATTAGGACGTATGTGATAATACTAATGGTTAACATTTGTTGAGCAATTGCCACAAGCCTGCAAAGCACAACATAAACTTGGTATTTGCATGACTTAATTATATTTGCACACTGCATGAACGTAATTTAATCCAAACAATCCTGAGAGATGATGTGTCAACTAGAATGTTTTTAGCTGCAAATAACAGAAAATCCAATTCAAAATGAAACTTTGTCTTAACCTACTTAGTTAAGTAGATTAATTGTTTATATAATTTTCTGGGTGATAATATGGTCTATTTTCCCAAAAGAAGGAAAACATGTTTCATACATAATAAGAGGTCTAGAGATAGCATCATTCTAGGTTGGTTAATTCAACAACCTAAGCTATATCATCCAGGGCTCCAATTTTTTCTTTCTCCTCTATAAACTACACTATTTTAATTCCTCTTGGACCCACCCTGCATTGTGCCAAAAAGCCTGCCGCAAGTTCTGAAATTCACAAGCAGATGCCAATGTCCTGACACAGAAGGAGAATAACTTCTACCTGTGCTCCATTTTTAGAGGCAGGAAAACCTTTCCAGGTTTCCTGTAGACCTCACCTCATGCTGCTTTGGCCATATTTAAATCATAAACTCAAGGAAGCCTAAGTCTATCTGTTAGCCAAGAGGAATGAGAACACAGTGATTGGCTTAGAATTATCAGCATTTCTCCCCAGGAGGTGAAGTTAACAGCTTCCTGAGAAGGGCATGTCTCCAAAATGGATGAATGAACAAAACACAGGGTCCTCTTAAAAACAGAGTAGTTACTGGTCAGAGCTGTTACAATCCCCATCTAAAAGGTAGAACCAAGGCCTAGAAAGGTGAAGTAATGTGCCTGAAGTCACAGGGCTAATACAATTGCAAACTGAGGCCTCAAAACTAGGCCTAATTCTGCAGCCCAAATTGCAAACCAGTAAATTCTATTGTATTTCTGAGTAAAACAACTCACCTTTAAAAAAAATTAACTCATCTGGGACACCAAAATGATTTAATACCTACATTGGGTTCGGATTTATGATTCCAGTTTCTCATTTTCAGTTTTGTGTGTTGGGCCTGATTCTCTGTTTGCTGTTCTATCTACCCACTTAGTTTATGTCTCCCAACATCCTAAGTGATCTTTATTTGTAAAAACTGCAGGCATCATCCTACCAATATGTGTAAGACATGCTGAATTTCTACCTTTATGAAACCATCTCGTTAGATGGAATTAAAAATGCCATTAGCTTATTCCATCATCTTAAACTTTAATGCTATATTGATATCATATCTCTTATAGATTTAAAAGTTTATTACTTCTTTATTTTATTTTATTTTATTTTATTTTATTTTGGTATCATCAATCTAGAATTACATGAGGAACATTATATTTACGAGACTCCCCCCTTCACCAAGTCCCACACACACACCCTGTTACAGTCACTGTCCATCAGTGTAGTAAGATGCTAGAGAATCACCACCTGTCTTCTCTGTGTTGCACAGCCCTCCCCATGCCCCCCTCCACATTATACATGTTAATCTTAATGCCCCCTTTCTTACCCCCTTATCCCTCCTTTCCCACTCATCCTCCCCAGTCCCTTTCTCTTTGGTAACTGTTAGTCCATTCTTGGGTTCTGTGAGTCTGCTGCTGTTTTGTTCCTTCAGTTTTTTCTTTGTTCTTATACTCCACATATGAGTGAAATCATTTGGTACTTGTCTTTCTCTGCCTGGCTTATTTCACTGAGCATAATACCCTCTAGCTCCATCCATGCTGTTGCAAATGGTAGGATTTGTTTTCTTCTTATGGCTAAATAATATTCCATTGTGTATATGTACCACCTCTTCTTTATCCATTCATCTACTGATGGACACTTAGTTGCCATTTCTTGGCTATTGTGAATAGTGCTGTGATAAACATAGGGGTGCATCTGTCCTTTTCAAACTGGGCTGCTGCCTT